AATAAAGTCAAGTTACAGCCAAACACATAGCTTTTGGTGCATTTCTTGTAAGTATTTTGCTACTGGGAATAATGCAGCCGAATATAAAAACCCCTCCCTTGTGTACACATAAACTGGTCGTAGCTTATGCTAGTATTGGAGAAAGGGGGAAAAGTTATAATGTAATGGCTATTTTTCTCAAAGGTAGGATGAAGTTATCGCTAGAGGTTATTGGGGTGGGTGTGAATAGTAGGTGTATAGGCTGCCGCCTTCTAAAAGATTCAGTGATCCCTTGTCTTCATTAGAAATCTGAGGCAAGACACCAAGTAGATTGTTGAAGAAAGTTCTACTTAAACTGACAGCAGGATGCTTAGATCTTACCTAGTATCAATATATAGGTATTGGCTAATATTGTTTATTACTTACTAATAAAGATAAGTTGTGTTACAAATTGATATAAAATCAAAGAAAAGTTTCCTTTATCTTTCTATACACATAGCTATGCCCATTCCTCCTCCTATACATAAAGCTGCAACTCCTCGTTTTCCACCTGTTCGTTCTAGTGAGTGCAGAAGTGTAACTAGGATTCGACAACCAGATGCTCCAAGGGCGTGGCCAAGAGCAACAGCCCCACCTTCAATGTTTACCTGCCAAAAGAAAGAAAGAAAGAAAACATCAGAAGCATATGTTAAATCAAATTTAGAAGTTTTCCTTTCCTACTTTGGAACCTAATGTTTAGAACAAGAATTGAAACCTCTGACAATAGATTTTATAGTGAAGTGGGTAAGACTCATTTTCATGCTGAGATCAGAGGAAAGTGTCTCTGACTGAGCCATTACTTACACAACACACTTGTCTGTTTCTATTCAAACTTACCTTTTAATTTTCTTAGTATTTTTTAAACCAATGCCTGATATTTGGCTATTTAATTTTTATTCCCAGTCACTAAATTTGTGGAAGGAATGTTCTGCAATGATCACCAACTTTACTGCTCACCTATGTAGTACTGGAGCTATCATAAAATTGTGATTGTAACTTCTATAATATTGTCAGAAAAATCACTCTGATATCCAGTCTGAATATTAAACAGCAATTAAAAGCCACTGATTCTGATTCCACCCCCTGGGAAACTGGAGAATAAATCCAATCCTTTGTAGGCTAAATTCTTATCATACACCCCTTTAATCTTCTCTTCCACAGCCTAAATATATGCAATTCCTTCAATTGTTCCATGTAGAACTTTGTTCTCTGGGCTTCCTGTAATTTTTTTGATGTCCTTTTTGGACTGCAATACCTAGATAGGTTCCTTTGGAAGTGCTACTAGAAGTCTACAGCTCAACATAAGCTTTGTTTCCAAAAGTCTATGACATTTTATTTGAATACTAGCATCACAGAGTGCCAAATTCTATCTGATGTTCAATAATTCCTTGTGTGTCCAATCAAATAATCAAATCAATTCCTTGTGTTTCCAAACAAATTTCTTTTGCCAATCTAATCGCTCTTGGCCAATAAAGAATTCTAATATATCTTTACATTTAACAAGCAGATTTTTAAAAAGTGAAAAAGTGAAGATGTGCCAGTGCCTGGAAGCTGTCAGGGTCTGGATGGGAATGAACAAGCTTGCGCTCAACCCTGACAAGACCGAGTGGCTTTGG